TCTGGTTAATAAATATAAGTACAGTTTTCCCTTAAAATATTTCTGTAAGTAAAATAGGAAAAGTTAAAACAGGAATGAAAAGTTTAATTTGCCTATAATGCAGACATGGGTTAACTTTCAAAAAAATGACTGGTTACTAAATATATAACTTTTCATCAAAAGATTTGATTGACTAAGTTGAAAGAAGTGAAAAGAATAAAGAAAAGCCCAGCCTACCTGCGTCAGTTTTATGAAACATTCAGTACATAAAAGTTACAAAAAGCGGTTAGTAGGACAAAATTTTTCATAAGAAATATTGGAATCAATAAATTTTCGACCGTTCGAGTTTCAACGGAATTTTTTCTATGTTGAAATATCTGATTAATTTGATAACAAAAATAAATTATTAGGAATTTTAAAAAAGTAGTCCACCCAAAATACACTTGGAGAAAAAAAAATGTTATCTGGACTTTTATAAGAGGAAATGCTAAAGGGGCTTATAATAAACCTAAAAAAAATAAATGCGTGAGCAGGGGTGACGGATGGTAGATTTGGGGGGTTTAAAAGTTGTGAAAAATTGTATCATTGGGATTTCTGGCGAAAGTTGACATCAAACAAAAAATTATCCAATACAAAAGTTGTAGATCATGCAAAAATGTACAACTTTTGTAGAGGTCACTTTTTAAGATAACCTTTAAAATGACTTTAGATTTTGTCATAAAAATAACAGCGACGTATTTAAAAAAATTAACCTGATGATGACCCCTTGAAGACGCAACGTCGGATTGCAAAAATGTTGACGCCATTGGATATAGCGGAGAAAGTGGCAATATGCAATTTATTTTAAAATTCGTTTTCAAATAAAGCCAAAAAAAAAATTAAAACGATTTTACGAAATTTCGGGTTTTTCCGGATATCTCCGGAACTACCCGGAATTTTAAAACTTTCTAAACGGCATATTATTAGGTGTAAAAAACACACAACTTTTTTATAATTTGAGCCACTCCGTATCTCTTACTGTTTCCTAGATCCTAATGCTATCCCATCCTTATCTTGGACACACTGTATATCTATAAATACATCAAAATTAAAAAAAAATAATCGATCCTACGGGAAAAAAATATTATTTATTTTATTTATTCACTATTCGACTTAGATGTTTATCGCAACACTATACAAAAATAAAGTTTTGGGTCAAACGGTGAGCCAGTTTTTTTTGTATTTTTCTTCCGTATAATTGAATGGTGTAATCAGTTTTTGAATTTTTTTGAAATTTAAACAAATTATCAACAATTACTGAAAAATTCATTGTTGCGTCATTTTTATTTTTTTTTGCAATTTTGAGCTTGTTTTTGAACTGTGACTACAGATTTTTTTATTTCACCAAAAAGTGTATGTCAAAACGAAAAAAATGATCACCGGCAGAACTCTATACGATGATTTTTCTAAGTAGAATTTTTCTTTGAAAAAAAAACTGTTTCAGACCGGAAAAAATGAATATCTCGGAAACTCCTTGAATTTTTTATCTAAAAAAATTTGTGCTTATTTAAGACGCAGAAAGGTATACTTTCACCAAGTTTCGTCAAAATTACATTATTTTTGCGGAAATGAGAAATAAAAAACGAAAAATAAAAAAAAACCGTTTTTCACAATTTTCTCGGAAATTTTAAGGTTACCCTAAAAAGTGACCTCTACAAAAGTTGTAGATTTTTGCATGATCTACAACTTTTCTATTAGATACTTTTTTGCTTGACGTCAACTTTAGCCAGAAATTCCAATGATACAATTTTTTACAACTTGTGAACCCCCCAAATCAACCCTCCGCCTCCCCTGCTCACGCATTTATTCTTTTTTCATTTATTTGCTTTGCCATTTCCACTTATAAAACTCCAGGTAACATTTTCTTTTTATTCCCTATAAATGAGCTATTTCGATCGGTCTAAAATTTTAGAAGTATGTCGCTCCTACCTTCCACCTTCCATAATGGCAATGAGTGCGAAAAAGATCGAAAACCCCTTCTCTCTCTCTCTTTCTAAACATACGAATAGTATTAATTCCAGCGTGTGTCTAGTTCATAGGGTCCCTTGTCCCTTGTGCATTCTAGAGAAAGTAAGATTCAATACACTTGCCTTAACCTAATAAATTTCTTATTAACAGAAAATAAAATGAATGCGTAATGGTAGAAAACAATATTTTATTTTCAATAAATTTCTTATTAACAGAAAATAAAATGAATGTGTAATGGTAGAAAACAATATTTTATTTTTAAAAATAATTCAGTAACCATATTAGTACCTAGGCTTTACTTTAATTTACTTTAGATGTTATTTAAAATATTATTAGAAAAATGTATGTTTATAACTGGATTTAAGTACTTATCTGAAAAATGTAAAAAAATATTGTCAAAAATTTGCAAAATGTACGTAATACAAAAAAATATATTTAAATTTTTTTTTTATCCATGATATTTTATGTCTGCAATATCTTGAAACATGTTGCTTCAAAATTCTGTTGTTATATTTTAGGGAGTGATTGAGATTATAGAACTAATTTTTTTTTCATAAACATGCAGTGGGAATACATCTATCCCAGGGTTAAAAGAAACAATTCTGTGGACAATATTTTAGAAAAAATAAGTTAAATAAGCCGCCTGTAAGTATTAAATATTGGGATGGCCAAGAATATGGGAACCTAAATAAAATAACACCTTGCATGTCATATCATGTTTTTTAGTAGTATTTTTTTATTAAAACTAAAACACCCTATACATTGTTTATAGTGTTGAAGATAAAAGAAATCGTTGTGTGGGTAATATTTAAAATGTTTAAGAAATATATTGGAACTTTTACTATTCGGTACATATTGTTTTCCCCAAATATATATTACTGAAAACATCACTTACAAAATAAAAGAAGTTCTTGGTACCTAAGTACTAATGAAAGTTAAAGAATAGATTATTGTCAATATAATCTTTATTGAAAGAAGACTGACTTACTTACATTTTTAATTATTGAAGTTACTGATATCTAATACAATTAAATAACTTTTTTTCAAGCACTCGCGAAGTTCACCCGTATTTTAACTGGTGGGGTGGCATTTTACTGGGCCTGAATCACAAAAATTCCAGACTATGGCCTCAGATACACTCATCTGTAGCGTATTTATAACGAAAAACTTGTACTTGTTTACTTGTACCCGCTGATATTTTAGGTTAGAAATTTCACTGCACTCGCATTCATATCTGCACTGGGGGTATTTCTTCTTTACACTGGTGGCATAGACCGTATTTGTAACGAAAAACTGTAACTGTAACTTGTTTAGCTGCACGTATTCATATTATGTTAGGTTAGAAGTTAAAAATTAAGAAATATGACGATGTGAGACCCAAGTCGACCGGAAAGCGGGAAGCAAACCTAATCTACTGCTCTAGTCGTTAAAAATGCAATGAATATGATTTGATGGAAAAAATTCAAACGGCAAACTCTTTTCATTTTGACATTAGTGGAATAATTTTATGTATACGAATAGTACTAAATGAATGCAATAATTTAAATGTTCGTTAATAAGAAGTAAGTCAGAATAGGTACCTCTAAAATTGAAAAAAAAAATGATGAAGTTTTCAGACTTTGCTTTTTTAAATCGAGGGAATTTATTGTACGTGTGTGGTGCAACTTTGTACTGGTAATTAAAAGATATGTACCTCGAAATGGCGTGAATGTAAAAGTAAAATAATATATTTCGCGCACGGAAGTCTTTAGACTTTAGCGCCAGTTCTTTTTGACGTATCACAACTAATGCCAATAGTAGAGTAATATAAATGCATAATGTAATGTAATATTAAACATGCAAGGTTTTGTAAAGGGTTTACCGTTTGCCTTGAAATTGAAACATGTAATTTTAGGGGTACTTAAATCAATGCGGGGACAGCTAGCATGTCAAGCTTATGTAGAGCGGTAGTTATAAAAAAATGTAAATAATATCGTGACAACAATGTAATACGTATACATATCGGGGTGTAGCTACGCATTAACGTTTAAGAAAGTCCTGGGAAGGTAAAGTAACGACGCACCGCTGCCCTACAAACGGCTTTGACGTTTGGCGTGAAATTATTTTGACATAATGAATTTGACAATTCTAACGACGTTCCAATTTTTTCCCGATGGGCGTGTCTTAAAGCTTCAATTTTACGGCTTGCGAAATGGTCGTCTGTCGTCGAGCAAACCCCAAAAAAAAGGCAAAATTAAATATGAAAACGCGAAAAAAACGTTACAAAAATGCCCCCGAACGACTAAGGAGGAACGACTGAGTATCTGTGCCAAGTCGCACGCCGTTTCGAGGCTCGCAAAGAAGGAATTTTATGCGGCAAAATTCACATTTTTCGGCCTTCCTAGACATTGCATTTTAACGTATTTACGGCCGCATTTCGAATACCGCGTTTGATTTCGCGGAAAGTTGTACATAAAAAGTTGGAAGAAGGCACCCGGTCGATAAATATGAGTATTTTCGGCACAGTTTTAAATAAAATATCGTAGAAAATAAGGGAAATAAATAAGAAAAAAGCCGTACCCGCGCGCGATTCGAGGCGATCGGCGACCGTCAGATTTCAGCGGGAGGGCGTGTCGGACTATTGCGTTTCACACAAAAATTAGGCCGCGCCCCTCGCAGAGCCTGGGGAATTCGAAGAATTCACGGTGAAGGCGTCGAGTGATCGGTTTCTAAATACGATGTTGGGACGCGGGGCGGCCCCGGGGCGAAGCCTTTGCTAACACAAATCATCGCTTTTTCGGGGCGATCGTGCGACGCAGCCGGAGCTATCAGATTTTAATATATATTGACTAGAAACGTAGGCAAGTCGGCTTCGCCGACTTGACGTTTCTCTCGGGCCTTTGGCCCTCGGGCGGCGCTGCGAGCTCCATGAGCCCCGCTTCGCGGAGCGCTCTCTTGCGCGTATGTTTCTTAAATCATCACACCATCATCCACATCACCATCATCTACATCACTATCATCCACATCGCCATCATCTACATAACATAATATTCAACACTATAATCTCCATCACTATCATCTACATCGCCATCATCTACATCGCTATCAACACCACCATAATCTACATCGCTATTCTCTACATCACCATCATCTACATCTCCATCATCAACATCTACATCGTCATCATCTACATCACTGTCATCTATATCGCCATGATCTACATCACCATCATCTACATCACCATAATCTACATCGCCATCATCTACACCACCATCATCTACATCGCCATCATCTACAGCGTCATCATCTACATCACCATAATTTACAGCACCATCATCTACATCATCTACGTCACCATCATCTACAGCACCATCATCTACATCACCATCATCTACATTACTATCATCCACATCGCCATCATCTACATCACCCTCATCTACATCTATATCGCCATCATCTACATCATCTACATCTACACCACCATCATTTATACCACCATAATCTACATCACCATAATCTACATCACCATCATCTACATCGCCATTATCTACATCGCCACCATCTACAGCAACATCAACTACATCATCTACATCTACATCGCCATGGTCTACATAACCATCATCTACATCGCCAGCATCTACATCATCTACATCACCGTCATCTACATCACCATCACCTACATCGGCATCATATTCATCACAACCATATACATCACCATCATCTACATCGCCACCGTCCACATCACCATAATCTACATCACCGTCATCTACCTGACCATCATTTACATCGCCATTATCTACATTACCGTCATCTACTACAGCAACATCTATATCACCATCATGTACATCATCATCATCTACATCACCATCATCTACATTGCCATTATTTACATCATGTACATCACCACCATCTACATTATTATCACCATTCAAATGTGGGTCGATTTTGTGAAACATTCTGTGTAGCAAGTTTTAAAATAGCATCTGGTTACTAAATAAAAAATTTTTCATGAATAGGCTTCACTAAATAAAGTAGAAAAAATGAATATGATAAGGAATAATCCACGGGGTCTGTCCTGGATCAATTTTATAGAACATACAGTATATTGTAAAGCTTAAAAAAACATATTATAAAATTGTTACCTCANAGGCAAAATTAAATATGAAAACGCGAAAAAAACGTTACAAAAATGCCCCCGAACGACTAAGGAGGAACGACTGAGTATCTGTGCCAAGTCGCACGCCGTTTCGAGGCTCGCAAAGAAGGAATTTTATGCGGCAAAATTCACATTTTTCGGCCTTCCTAGACATTGCATTTTAACGTATTTACGGCCGCATTTCGAATACCGCGTTTGATTTCGCGGAAAGTTGTACATAAAAAGTTGGAAGAAGGCACCCGGTCGATAAATATGAGTATTTTCGGCACAGTTTTAAATAAAATATCGTAGAAAATAAGGGAAATAAATAAGAAAAAAGCCGTACCCGCGCGCGATTCGAGGCGATCGGCGACCGTCAGATTTCAGCGGGAGGGCGTGTCGGACTATTGCGTTTCACACAAAAATTAGGCCGCGCCCCTCGCAGAGCCTGGGGAATTCGAAGAATTCACGGTGAAGGCGTCGAGTGATCGGTTTCTAAATACGATGTTGGGACGCGGGGCGGCCCCGGGGCGAAGCCTTTGCTAACACAAATCATCGCTTTTTCGGGGCGATCGTGCGACGCAGCCGGAGCTATCAGATTTTAATATATATTGACTAGAAACGTAGGCAAGTCGGCTTCGCCGACTTGACGTTTCTCTCGGGCCTTTGGCCCTCGGGCGGCGCTGCGAGCTCCATGAGCCCCGCTTCGCGGAGCGCTCTCTTGCGCGTATGTTTCTTAAATCATCACACCATCATCCACATCACCATCATCTACATCACTATCATCCACATCGCCATCATCTACATAACATAATATTCAACACTATAATCTCCATCACTATCATCTACATCGCCATCATCTACATCGCTATCAACACCACCATAATCTACATCGCTATTCTCTACATCACCATCATCTACATCTCCATCATCAACATCTACATCGTCATCATCTACATCACTGTCATCTATATCGCCATGATCTACATCACCATCATCTACATCACCATAATCTACATCGCCATCATCTACACCACCATCATCTACATCGCCATCATCTACAGCGTCATCATCTACATCACCATAATTTACAGCACCATCATCTACATCATCTACGTCACCATCATCTACAGCACCATCATCTACATCACCATCATCTACATTACTATCATCCACATCGCCATCATCTACATCACCCTCATCTACATCTATATCGCCATCATCTACATCATCTACATCTACACCACCATCATTTATACCACCATAATCTACATCACCATAATCTACATCACCATCATCTACATCGCCATTATCTACATCGCCACCATCTACAGCAACATCAACTACATCATCTACATCTACATCGCCATGGTCTACATAACCATCATCTACATCGCCAGCATCTACATCATCTACATCACCGTCATCTACATCACCATCACCTACATCGGCATCATATTCATCACAACCATATACATCACCATCATCTACATCGCCACCGTCCACATCACCATAATCTACATCACCGTCATCTACCTGACCATCATTTACATCGCCATTATCTACATTACCGTCATCTACTACAGCAACATCTATATCACCATCATGTACATCATCATCATCTACATCACCATCATCTACATTGCCATTATTTACATCATGTACATCACCACCATCTACATTATTATCACCATTCAAATGTGGGTCGATTTTGTGAAACATTCTGTGTAGCAAGTTTTAAAATAGCATCTGGTTACTAAATAAAAAATTTTTCATGAATAGGCTTCACTAAATAAAGTAGAAAAAATGAATATGATAAGGAATAATCCACGGGGTCTGTCCTGGATCAATTTTATAGAACATACAGTATATTGTAAAGCTTAAAAAAACATATTATAAAATTGTTACCTCAAAAAATAAAGTAGAATGAAATAAAAAGAATATGAATACATTTGAACACTTGCAACTCTGACCTGGATCAATTTTGTTGGAACATTCGGTATAACAATGATCAAAAAAGCATTTTGTTGGTAAATGCAAAATTCAATGAACTTTACTAAAGAAAGTAGAAAAAGATAAAAAAGGTAAAAAAAATCTGGTCTGCCGCCTTTTTGTTTTGGTTTCAATTCTGATGTAGATCATTTTGTACATCCAGTATAAACTTCCAAAAGGGTATCTAGTTAGTAAATATAAAATTTTTCATCGAAAGACTTCAGTACGTAGGTAAGTCAGAAATGGGGAAAAATAAGTTAAGTTTCACTCTCCTAATTCTGAAGTATCTTGTTATAAATAGACAATTTTTCATTCAAAGATTTCAGTACGTAGGTAAGGCAGAAATGGGAAAAAATAAGTTTCACTTTCTCATAATTTTGAAGTGGATCAACATCCAGTATAAACTTCTAAAAAGGTATCTGGTTAGTAATTATACAATTTTACATTAAAAGCCTTTAGTAAGTAAAAATAAAGTTAAAAGAGAAAGGAAAATTTTGCCTGTTAATCAGACCTGCCTCAATTTTATACAACATTCAGTATATGGATTTTTCAAAAAGCGAATGGTCAGTTTTCATCAAAACGTTTCAGTGGAGAAAGTAAAAAAAGTAAAAAGAATAGAGAGCCTAGTCCACCTGTGTCAGCTTTATGAAACATCCAGTACAAAACATCTGGTTAATAAGATATGATTTGTCATAAAAATATTGCCATCAATAAATTTCTGAAATATACAGAAGCCTCTGGACCGATAATTCTGACCTGGGTCATTTTATGTAGAACATCCAGTATATGGATTTTCAAAGAAAGCGTCTGGTTAGTAACTATATAAATTTTCATCAAGAGATTTCAATAAATAATGTAGGAAAGTAGGTAGTGAAATGAGAAAAAAATCCGCCTGTTTCATTTTTAGTTCATGCCAGACAGCAATGAGGGCGCTAGGCTGTTCTACTATATGTTTGCTTAGCAGATCTAATATAGTACTACATCTATGGTCTACAGTTGGTTTGCCACGATTCGATGTAAGCATTACAGTCTACCCGGCTAACCTCAAATCTTTTATATCATGATAAAAGATATGTGACTAACTTCTTGTATTTGTATTTTGTGGCTCTCAGTTGTCACTGTTGTCCAGTAATTTTAATTTATATTTGGCAGCAAAATTGACCTATTTTGGAGTGTTTGATTTATAAAATAATATGGAAATATGTAGTTGATGTGTAATTATTATATTAATAAAAACTGATGGAATCAAAGCTGAAAGGTATGTATACAAATAAACAAATGTTGTCTTAGAATACAATTACAGAAAAATGTTTCTTTTAGATGCTGTTCTTTAAACAATGCTGGATTCTTTAAACAATGCTGGAAATTGGACATTCAGGGGGTCTTGCTGAATAAGTAAAACATTAATTGTGAAGTTAAACAGAAAAATATTTTTTTTGTAAATAAAAATACTGTGGATTCTTGAGTGTTGTGAGAAATAAGAAATCCCCCAAATATAATGTATTGTAAATCCATCATAAATGGTAATGGGTTAAAATTTCAATGTTATGAGGTTAAATGGAAGATATAAAAAAAATGTTTTAATGCAGTTGACATGTGATAGCAGAAAATAAGGTTTTCTATTTAAAATTAATGTTATTAGTACAGAAATGCCAGTACAGTAGATACCTAATGCAGTATTTATTTAGATGTATGTATTATTGGTAATATTAAATATAATAAAAAATAATGTGTTTTATTTGTAATGATTGATTGTGAAAGAAAATTGTATTTTTCTGTGACAACAGTGGATATTTAAAAATACATAACTATATACTTACAGTATATTTATTTAAAACTGAATGGTTAATGTTTTTACTACATTATGTTTTTTCAAATCTCTACAAATATTTTTATCGTTTATACTACTATTTTTCGAATGATTAAAAAACTTTTATTGAAACTATATTCCAAAATTTGTCAGCTAAAAAATTGTATTTATTATACATATGTAAAAATGAACATACATTTGTATATTTTATATAATATGCTGGAAGTGTAACTACACATAATGTCTCATTATATATGTAATGTATAGTGGAAGATCAACAAAGATATTTTATTTAAATCGATCAAAATTTTTTGAAGAATTTTCTAAAGCAGGTGTTTTCTCGATTTGTTTTAATAACTTTTTAACTTGTTTTACATATGTACCTAACTGAACAATTTTTTTTATAAGATGAAATTAATGTAATGTAGTTTGAAATAACTTTATTTGCCATAGTTTTCTTAGAATTAGTGTAGTTGAAGTTACTCATGGAAGGCGAGAATGGTTAAATAATAATCACATATCCCTGCTGTGAAAAATAAACAACTTGAACAAAAAAAGACTAAGTTTTTGAGACAGGTCCCATATCAATGAAATCTTTGACCTCAGGGAACATTTCACAGTTTTATAACCTGCACTCGCGAAAATCACTTGTTCTTTAATCGCTTTAACTGGTAGCTTCCTGGGTGCCCAAAATTTATTGAGGAATTTTCCAAAGCAGGTATTTTCTCAATGTGTTTTAATAACTTTTTAACTTGTTTTACCCAAGTGAACAAATTTTTTTATAAAATGAAATTAATGTAATGTAGTTTGGAATAACTTTATTTGCCATAGTTTTCTTAGAATTAGTGCAGTTGAAGTTACTACATGGAAGGCGAAAATGGTTAAATAATAATCACATATCCCTGCTGTGAAAAATAAACAACTTGAATAAAAAAAGACTAAGTTTTTGGGACAGGTTCCGTATCAATGAAACCTTTAACCTCAAGGGAAATTTCACAATTTTATAACCTGCACTCGCGAAAATCACTTGTCCTTTAATCACTTTAACTGGTGGCTTCCTGGGTTCCTCGGTAGAAGTGTAGGTAATGTAGTGGTGAATTCTTGTAAAACACAAAACTTCCACATTGCATAGTTGTAACTGGAAAACTAAAATTTATGTTAGATTCTACCAATGGCCGGGTAAAAATATATATATACTATACCTGCAGAAAGGGTTTTTGCAAGACACCTCGGAGCAGATACTTATTTGTATTCTGAGCAAACTTGGAAGTGGTTTTTCTCAATACACAGGTTTATTTTACTCGACAGATGACAGGACTTGACAGATGGAGAGCGATTCGACAATCGTCAGTGATCGAAAACGTAGAGATAAATGTTCAAGGTTTGTTAGGTTTGTTTGTTTAGACATATCGCAGATTTGTAGTGCAGGGGTTATTATATTTTTGAAGGAATGGGTAAAGGCTCTGTTAAAACTTGTAGTGTTTTTACCGATCCATAAGTTAAGTTGGAAGAATGTACTTAACCGACAATCCAGGTCACAAAGCAAACGTGGGGCCACGTACCTCATGGGAACGCCTGTTAAACGTAATTTTCCTTTTGTGGAAAAAAAACCTGCGACAGGTTCAGAGACACATCGAAAACAATAGAAATCGTCCCACTTTAGCTTCTTTTACACAAATCGCCGCACGAAAGTTGAAAATTTTCAATTTTCCTAGGACTAACGGAATGGCGGCCATCTTGTGACATTAAACTGACAGTCTGACAGTGGTTCAGACTTGCGAACTTTTAATTTTAAGGGTTAAGTATGATCACTTAGAACCTGTTGGAACTGTTGTGGGGGGCGAATATAATTTTTTTCGGAAAGCTCGAGGTATGGGAATGTCGTCGATACATAATTGGACAGGGGGAGCTGCACGAATGTCTCGTAAAAGCCGGGAAAAGTAGGTTCTCCTCGTCCCCGCCGCGAAGAGACGCCCATGGCTTGATAAGCATTTTTATTACCCATGAAGCTCGTCTTTAATTTTCTTACATTCGACCTAAAAAAGGTTGATGGAGATATAGAAGAGAGAGATCGTCGCGACGCGTCGCCGGAAAGGCGTCTCGGGGGCCAACGCGGGCTTCCTCAGTCCTCGAGCGCGGTACGTACGCCGAGAGAAAGGCCAGGGCTTCGTCCTCGCGCAGAAAGTGAAGGCCGATCGAGTGAGGGAAAAAAATTATGCCGTCGCGAAAACGGCGTTTTCGCCGAAATAATCCGGGCTTTATAAAATAATCGGGGTCTGGCGAGAGAGACGCGAGATGTAGACCCCTTTTGAAAAGCTAATTTCGGCGTTAAAAAGTAAAAAGTACGCAGCAAAAATACGCCCGAGACGCTCGGAAAAGACGAAACTTTCGCGTAAAAGCGGAAGGAAGTCCCGATCCCTCCCAGGAAAAAAGCCCTCGGTAGGAGAAATCGACCCCGAAACGCTTCCGATGGAGGGCGTTTCCGAGTATCTGCGTCTCACTTCCCCGCTAAAAGCCGCGGTCGATCGCGCGGACCCCCCGAAAAAGCGAATATTCACTGGGAAGAGGGCAAAAAATCGCCGTCGAAATACGACGTTCCGATGAAGAAAGAAAAGCGGGGGGCTTCGCCCCGTGCGCTTCGCCGCAGCGCGGCTCGCTCGCGGAGCCTTAGTTAGTGCAAAATGGCCCTTTTTCGGGCGCGTGCGTGCGCGCGAGAGTAACCTACACGCTTTAATATATATGACTAAAAAGGCAGGCAAACTCCGCTGAAGCGGAGTTTGACCTTTCTGTCGGGCCTTCGGCCCGCGGTGCTTTCCTCGCTGGTTAGTAGATATAACATATTTTGAAATACCCTGTACTTTGATATTTAAACACCCTGTATATAAAAGTATCATATCAAAAAAGAGTAGGCCCCGCTCGAGAAAAGAATAAGAAAAGTTTCTTCCAAACTTCCAAAAAAGGCATCTGGTTAGTAAATATAAAATTTTTCATCCAAAGACTACGTAGGTAAGACAGAAATGGTAAAAAAATAAATTAAGACATTTGCTTGATAAATATACAAATTTTCATTAAAAGACTGTAGTAAATAAAGACAAAGCTAAAAGTGAAAAGAAATAAAACTGCCCTTAACTCTATAGGACATCTAGTATATGGATTTTTAAAAAAGCGACTTTTCTTCAAAAGATTTATAGAAAAAATTAACAAAATAAATAAGGGAAAATCTGGTACTCCTGTGTCAGTTTTATGGAACATCATGTACATAAATTGCAAGAAACACCTGGTTAGTCGGGTATAAGGTTTTTCATAAAAATATTACAGACTTCAGTACAAAATATAGAAAAGGAAAGAACATTAAGGAAAGTTTCGTTCTATTGGTAATAAATACTCAGTATAAAAATTCAAAAAGGCTGGTTAATAAGTATAAAATTTTTCATTAAAAGACTAGTAAATAAAAACAAAGTTAAATGTGAAAAGGGGAAAAATTGCCCGTTTCAGATGTGGATCAATTTTTTGGAACACCCAGTACGTATATGGATTTTCTAAAAAGCGGCTGGTCAGTAAATATACAACTTTTCTTCAAAAGGTTTCATAAAAAAATTAACAAAATGAATCAGAGAAAATCTGGTCCACCTGTGTCAGTTTTATGAAACATCCTGTACATAAATTGCAAAAAACATTTGACACCGTGTGTAGAAATATCTATTTGAAAATTTAGGTAGGTAGTGAAATGAGAAAAAAATCCTAGTCCGTCTGTGTCATTTTTATGAAACACTTAGTATATAAATTTGCAAAAAACATTTGACACCGTGTGTAGAAATATCTATTTGAAAATTTAGGTAGGTAGTGAAATGAGAAAAAAATCCTAGTCCGTCTGTGTCATTTTTATGAAACACTTAGTATATAAATTTGCAAAATGCCTCTGAGTTCTACAATATAAGATTTTTCATAAAAATATTGCCACAATAAATTTCTGAAATATACAGAAGCCTCTAGACCGAAAATTTTAACTTGGGTCAGTTATGTACAACATGCAGTATATGGATTTTCAAAAAAATCCTTTGATTAGTAACTATAAAACTTTTCATGAAAAGATTTCAATAAAAAATTTGAAAAGTGAAAAGATAAGTAAAATCAAAGTTCACCTGTGTCATTTGTATTAAACATTCGGTACATACCTTTGTAGAAAGCATATATGATTACTATGATATCAGATTTTTCATAAAAATATTGCAATCAATAAACTAAAATATATAGGAGCCTCTGGACCGTTCGAGTTTCAACACAATTTTTTAGACGCCCTGTATATAGAAACCTATTTGAAATTTTATATTTTTTCGTTATAGAAAGGTTTAAAAAGATTAATCCATATATAAAATTTAATTACGGCAGTAAATAAAATCTTAGGTACCTCGTCTGAGATTGAACCAACGACCTTACGAATACAACGGGGCATTTTTTACCGCTGTGCTGTCGATTGCTTCATGCACAATCCATCTGTACTGATATTTTAACTGTCATTCGCAGCTGAAGTAATCAACAATTTTTGTAATGTTAAATTTGCATTTTTCTAACACAAAATCGTCTCGCAAAAGATTCACAATGAGATAACACAGATAAATAACGACATCCTATGACTTGAAAGAGTCTTTAACTCCAACTTATTTCTACTGACTCTTAACTTTTGACGTTTGGGGAGTAATAGATACGAATGCAACATAGTAAATTAACGAAGCAAATGTACTAATACAAAGGTTCAAGGGTTTAGGTACTATGGATTGGTTTAAAATTATGCAGTCTTAGAGGGCAAGTACTTACGTTAATTCGGGGACAGGTATCGTAATCGTAGGCATGTCAAACGGTAGAGCTGCGAAAATGTAAATAACAACCTAACCTAATAATAAGAAATACCTGTATATGTCGTGACGTAGCAATGTATTAAGATTAAAAAAAGGCCTAGTAAAGTAAAATACCGGTTCGCCGCGACCCCACAGACATCTTTCGCGTTTAGCGTGAAATTATTTTGACATAATTAATCTGACGTTTCTAACGACATTCGAATTTTCTCCAAGTGGGCGTGTCTTAAAGCTTCAATCTGACGGCTTGCGAAATGGTCGTCTGTCGTCGAGCAGACTCCAAAAAGAAGGCAAAATTAAATATGAAAACGCGAAAAAAACGTTACAAAAATGCCCCCGAAGGACTAAGGGTGAACGACTGAGTATCAGTGCCAAGTCGCACGCCGTTTCGAGGCTCGCGGAGAAGGAATTTTATAGGGCAAAATTCACATTTTTCGGCCTTCCTAGACAATGCATTTTAACGTATTTACGGCCGCATTTCGAATCCCGTGTTTGATTTCGCGGAAAGTTGTACATAAAAAGTTGGAAGAAGGCACCCGGTCGATTATTTTCGGCACAGTTTTAAATAAAAAATCGTAGAAAATAGGGGAAATAAAAAATAAAAAAGCCGTACCCGCGCGCGATTCGAGGCGATCGGCGACCGTCAGATTTCAGCGGGAGCGCGTGTCGGACTATTGCGTTTCACACAAAAATTGGGACACGCTCCTCGCAGAGCCTGAAGAAAATTCAAAATTCACCGCGAAGACGGCAAAAAATCGCCATCAAAATACGACGTCCGGACGAAGGAAGGCCGGCGGGGGGCTTCGCCCTCCGCGGCTCCCGATTTTAATATATATTGACTAGAAACGTAGGCAAATCGGCTTCGCCGACTTAACGTTTCTCTCGGGCCTGCGGCCCTCGGGCGGTGCTGCGCGCCGCGTAGGCTCCGCTTCGCGAAGCACTATCTTGTGCGAATGTTTTTTCAATCATCAACGCCATCATCCACGTTACCATCATCTACATCACCATCATCTACATCACCATCATCTACAGCACCATCATCTACATCACCATCATCTACATCACTATCGTCCACATCGCCATCATCTACATCATCATCTACATCACCATAATCTTCAGCACTATAATCTCCAGCACTATCATCTACATCACCATCATTTACATCGCTATCATCTACATCACCATCATCCATATCGCTATCATCAACATCACCATAATCTACATCGCTATTATCTACATCACCATCATCTACATCTACATCGCCATCGTCTACATCACTATCATTTACATCGCCATGATCTACATCACCATCATCTACATCACCATAATCTACATCGCCACCATTTCGACCACCATAAGTGGATAATTTTTTTGGAACATCAAGTATAAACTTCCAAAAAAGTATATGGTTAGTAAATAT